TCGTCCGCCAGCGCCTCGACCTCTGCCGTAACCTTCTCCGCGGCCTCGACCACAACCTTCTCTACGGCCATGTCCGCGTCCACCAAAGCGACCGCGACCTCGGCCACGACTGCGTCCAGCCCCACGACCGCGACCTCGGCCACCATCAGGAAATAGCGCCTTCTCTTCATCGGTGTTGTCGGCTGCCACCTAGCAGTCTTGGCGGCGGTCGTACGCAGTTTCAAGGGCGTGCTCCAAGTGCTCATAGTTCGGGGGTTCGTTTGGGTCAGTCGGCACGTGAGAGGCCAAGAACGCCTCCACCACATTGTCGTAGTCTCTGGGAAGCGAGCCAATGAGTAGAGCCGTCTTCTCGTAGTCGTCCAGTGGCTTCCCAAGCAGCCCGATCCTGTCCATCAGTAGTCGGATCTCGCCGAGATGGTCCGACATATTACCCTTGACGTCCAACTGCAGCTTCCTCAACTTTGGCATTTCCGCAGCATACTTAAAGTAAGTCTTTCCGATGTACCGATTTTTTCAAGTATTCCATCACTCTGTACGGGGTTGCCTCGTACTTGACTGTCTTCATTATCTTGTCAGTCATGCCATCGTACAGGATCTCTTTTGCTATCGTACTCTCCTTCATGTACTTAGCATGATCATCCGTCTCCTCTCCCTTCGACTCGTCATCAGTGAAACTGGTTCCGTGGGCTCTTTTTTACAGTAGCTCCACAGGCCGTTGCGTTGGAGCTTCAAAGCCATTCGCTCCAGCCACACTTCGAAGTCCTGGCCATCAAAAGATGGGTGTGCCTTCTTCTTGTCATCCGATCCACCCTTCTTGTTGTTGTTTGTGGTGTTCATCGTTCTTGTTACAGGAGACCCGTTGGGCTCATAACCACTTGTAAACTGCACTGGTAAGCAAGCGTCTGCGCCTGCAGCAAGACACGTAGAGCACTCGAAGTTGGTGGAAAAGGCAGCTTGTGCTGCTGTTTGTATTTTGTGAAGTGAGCTCTAGCATTCTCTCGCTCTTTCTTCGTCTAGCTCAATTTCCAGTATCATGTTTTCTCACTCCTTTCCTCACCTCTCCAACTGCCTCAGTAACACACCCTCAACAACAAAGCCTTTTAGTCGGGTCGGCGCCAACCGTGAGGACCAGTACATCACAACATTTTCTTAAAGAGATTGGACAGTGGCCGAG